AAAGAAGATCATGATTTTGTCTTGCTAACAATTTTGTACTTTTTTTTTTTTTGTGGGACTGATGCCAAAGAATACCTTCATCTATCTATTTAAAATAAGATTGGATATCGTTTCTTCCTGGTTTTCAGAAGAGGGGCCAACAGCTTTAAAGATTTCATTTTCACTGTTAGTAGTGAGATGTGTCAGCTATTTCAAAATGGTGAAATATTTGACTTCAGAGATTGCTGGGAACTCTTGATCCAACTACCCATTTTTCAGGGGTGTTTCTTTGAATTAAAACACTACCATCTTCAAAGAGATACTTTGTTACCAGCTTACTTTAGTAAGCCAGTGAGATAAAGCATACTGATGGACTGGTTAATAAAAGCGAAACTTGAAAAAAACCCACAGTAAAGCACAGAAAGTAGGAAAGGGAGAAAGAGAACAGAAATAAGCTGTTTCATTCTTGTGTGCAAATACTAAACTGACTATACCTGTAGTGTACTGGACAGGTATTTGCCTAGACTGTTACAAAAACCTCTGGAAAAGCAGAATCCATAGTCCACTTTAGGTTAACATCTGCCAGTATTTCCCACTCATTTCCATTTGAAAGAGTTTCCTATTGTCTAACATAACCCCAAATTTCCCCTGCTAGAGTTTAAGTCCATCCTTTTCCTTCTGAAATATGGGGTGCAGTGGATCTTCTTTGCTTTTCTAGTAACTTTATACATATTTGCAAATCATTATGTTCTGCTTCAGTTAGTCCCTCTCCCCGCTCTTGGCAAAACAATTCCATTCTTTCAGTCTTTCTGTGTATTCAGCTTGTTCGTTTTCTGGTAAACTCTCTTAGTTGATCCATGGCTTTCTTGAAGTTTGGTGCCAATTACTGGTTTTATACCAGGTGGGACTTTACTAGATCTGAATAGAAATTAATGGATCATTCTACCTGCTTTAAGATACAACTCTCCTATTTATGCATCCTAGCAAAGTATTTGCTTTTTCTGCAACAGTATGAGATTTGCTGTTGTCTCTGGATTCTTTTCTGCAGAATTTCCATCTATCCAATTTTCCATCTAGTACTTGTGTAATGAATTATTCTTAATTAAGTGCAGGACACTTCAGGCATCATTATTGGATTTCATCCCATTTGTTTCAGATCATTACTCCAATTCCTCAAGAGCTTAAATTATAGTCTTTTCCTCATGAGTACTTGCAACCCATTCTTCTTCCCAGAGTCAATTCTTTCACCTGCTTGATATCACCTCCAGATTGGACTAAGGTAGATTTATGCTATTTTCCAAGTTGCAAATGAATATATTGAAGAGTATACAATCTAGGACTTTGCAGTTTGATCTGTGGACAGCTGATAGTTAGGCTTACTGTTTTTCAGTGAGCTTTGTGCTCCACCTAACAGTACCTTTTTTCTCATCCCACAAAAAAAAGGATCTTTCCCTATAGAGTATGGTTGGGTTTCTTTCTGAATGTCTACTTTTTTTATGTGTCATGTCATAAGAAGTCCTGTACAGAATTGTTTCTAAATAATTCTTTTTGACCTGTACTTCAAATGCAGTTTTGGATCGCTAACAGAAGACTTGATTCCTCTGTAATTTTTTTTCCTTTCAAATCAGCAAAAGATAATCCTGAAGCTGTACCAAGTACTTCCTCACAAAGTACTTGGTAATGAAAAACACTTTTGGTTTTGATGTTTTCTGGAAAGGGTACTTTTTTTTTTTTTGGATAATTTTGAATTAAATAATTTGGGGACCTTCTTTTCAAATAGTATAAATATACCAAGTCATTAATATGTTGTAGTGATCCTGACTGCAAGATCACTGTATACAAAGGAGGTAAGTGATCCACATAACAGTTAAGTTGAGAAGGTGCAGGCCTGTGCTGCGCTGTGCATATCGCTTGGCTACAGCACAAATTTAGCCAGCTAATTGTAACAGAGGAGCCTGTATGCAGCTCCCACTTGTGTCCCCCTGTCTTTAACTAAAACCACAGCACCAAGTTCTCACGTGAACAATCTTTTCATCTGATGGTAGAAATGATTAGCAGAATTGGTTTATTTAACAAAATCCTGTAGGAGCTAACCCTCCAACAGACTGCGTCTGTACAGTGTGCTGCATCCTGACTGGAGGTCAGTTCCAGGGCTGCACAGCTTGGGGTTCCCAGTGGCTGAAAGGATCATAAGGTTATTTATAATAACCTCTTTTTCCCTATAGCATTAACTCCAATAATTGGCAGTGATACTTTATGAAATATTAGTGTCTGTCTTAGCGGGATCCTAGTGAACCAGCACCCCCTGGTGCAAAGCATATGCACATCAAAGTTTTACTTCTGGAAATTTGTGAACAATCTTGGAAATTTCTGTAAGAATTTAACTCTTCTATGACATATAAAGTCACAGTTTGATAAAATTCTCTTGTGTGTTAGTTATTTTATGAAAGCAAGTACTTAAAGATTAGTCATTCCTGGCATTAATTTTTATTTGAGATTACAATTTGATATATTTACTTTGCATTAATATAGGATTCCATCTGAATGCACTTCCTACTTAATGATTTGCCCCATGGTTATTTTATTTCTTCTATTTGGTTCTTGAATAGTTTATCTCTTAAAGTTAGTCTAAAGCATAAAGTTTACTGCACCGTAGAACAATTTTATAAGCTTACAACTAATCTGTTTGGTACAGATGAGTAGTTCTACAACCAACTTTATTCCTGTAGCTGGTAATAGCTACTTATTCGCGAATTTGATTTAACTGTACTTCTTAGGGGACCAGTTGAAGTTACTTGAGCTGATGTTGATAAATTATGATCTGACATTAGCAGCAGCATCTCTTGCTACTTTTTCCCTGTCACTAATTACAATTTTGCAATCACACTTAATATCAAACTAAAGTAGGTGGATAAAGGCAATCGATGAGATATAAACTCAAGTAAAATAAGTTCTAGTAAAAGAAAACCGTTCTGAAGATTCATAGTGTCTTCAACACTATGTGGAATGTTTACCACTGTTTCAGTTTAAGATCAGGATTTTTTTTTCCAGTTTGAATGTTTTTTGGATTTGTGGCCTGGCTTTTGGACAATAACTTGCTTGGTTGCATCAGCCTGGCTGATGTCTGAAGGTACTTAGGAATGAATAAGGTTACCTTAAGAAATTTAATGATTTTCAATATACAACAGCCTACTTTCTGTCTTAGTCAGTATGGTTTTGATAGTTGTTATTCATAGGGTACATAACATACCCCAAAATACTATCTCAAGTTTAAAACCCTTAGTAACACTGATTGAAGTGTTACATCTATAACATAGTGTTATCTAGTTTGTGAGAGCAAAAGATTCAGCGTCATTGATGACTAAATGAGACCATTGTATTCCAAACGCATAGAGAATCTATGCTTTTCTCTTTCTTGAACTTTCATTTAGTTAATGGTATTCCTTCTGTAAAGGTAGAGACCTGTAAAATATACATGACTTGTGCCCCTGCTTTCAAGTGTTTGGTCTTGCAGAATGAAGCTCTTAATAAGGACAGATTGAAATAAAGGTCTGAAACGTGTAACCTGGTGAAACATTTTATGCTTCTGTTCATTTAAACTATTGCTATGTCAAGTACTGGTGTCTCCAAATTCTTTTGCTAATGAAGATACTGGGCTGTTCTGAACGTCATTATATTACTATCATTAACAGTTCAGTGTTACAAACATTTTTTATCTTTTAATGGTAACATTTTTGAAAGAAAAGAACATTTCTTTATATTATAACATTAAGATATTTATGTGTTTATAATATGTAGGAGATTTTTGATCATCCCAGATTCTGTAGCATATTGGTGGTTTTTATTCAACTTATGAAGCTTCAAACTTGGTAAGCAATACACTCTCTGGATGTATAGTGAAATAAAAGCTATATAATTTGTCCTGTATGAGAAAGCATGATCCCAGTCTATCTGAAAACCTTGCCAGTGGCTGAAATCCAGTGTTTCCTAAATTTGGGAGCTTGGACCTGAGACGGTAATGAAAACAAAGAAAATTAAGAAGTAGGTATTTTTGTAGTAGAAGTTGGAAGAAACTGCAAATAATACAACAGAGAAGTCATGACTCAGTACTTGAATATTTGTGACAAGATTGCTCTCCTTAAAAAAGGATCTTATTTTCTGTGTTCATGCTTCACATTTACTGGCAAAATACCGGTAATTGGGTATAGACAGTGATTTAAAACATTTAGTTTTTGGTATGTCAGTAACTTTTTGTAGGGAGTATCTCACGTTGAGAGTTTTCAAACGACTGTATTCTCCTATGGTTTATTATGATGCTTAAGAGCAAAAGTCTGTTGTTCAAATGCTGTGTTAAATATTTAAGACATGGAATGCTTCAGATAAGAAATGCTAATAAATAAACGGTATTTACTTTCTTAATAATCAGTTTTATTTTAAATAAAAACACTAGAAATATAAAAAAACAATCTAACCTTGCGAGGCATAGGCCTTTACCATACAATTGTAGAAGTAGTGATCTATGTTGCAGGAATTGAGCTGTTAGCTTTCATTTATATTGCATTTGTGCCAAATAATTTAATGTGACCTTAAAGAAAATCAATAACCTTTTCCTTCTTATGTGCTTAAACATTGCAACTTTAAAGGATTCATGCATATTTTCATGAGTTTCAGTACCCCTATGAGTGTTATGCCTATAAAAAGAAATATAATTTACATGTTTAGGTTCCTAATCTGTGAGGTTAAGTTTAGCTTACCTGCTTTCCCATCAGTTGTGATGAATACTCTTGCATGCTGTATCAGAGTGTATGAATAATAGTTACAATATTCTAGGTGAGATTTTTCCTGTTTTCAGCAATGGCTCTGGAAGAGAATTATACCTGGGAAATTCTACATGTGAACAGATTTTTCCTTTTTCTATTCTTTCTTCTATTCAGTCATTTCAAATAGTCATCATATCAAGAATAAAATTAGGCATCTAAGGGGAGAAGAGTCTAATTCATCTTGCTCTGTTTTTAAATCAGGTGAAGTACCACCAATGAGATGGATAGTAAATTTTGACCGAGATCTTCTAGATGGCCTGGTATTGGCAGCACAGCTGGCAGCTTATTGTCCATATTTGGTAAGGACTTTTCTTAATATTGTGCAAGTTTTATACCGTTTGTTAATGTAAGTGGGCTTATTCAGGCCTTATTTTCATTTGGAACTGTTGGCTTACGTGGTTTTTAATAAAGAAAAAACCGCCAAAGTTTAGCAAGTCTAGAGTGTTTATATCAGTATTAATTTTTCTTTTCTCTGGGTATATTCTTAATAGGGAATTTTAGTTCAAAATTTAGATCTTATGGATTGCTGAAGGAGTGAAAATACAAACATAGTCCTTTTGCTTAGTGGAACATCAAGAGTTTTGATTTCTCTGTCTTCTCTAGATTGCTACTCACTTTGTAAGGATGTATACTACTCCAAGAACTCCTGAACAGTTTCTGCACAACTGTTTGATACTTGTGAATGCTATGCATGCTGTCAGTCTGGCTATAGACATAAAGGTAAATGATTTTACACTAGTGGTTCTAATATACTTTTAAATGTATTTTTTTTTTTTTTACTTTTATGATAGTAATATTGTATTTCAAATTAAAGTGAGATTTTAGTGAAGCAGTTTTGTTTCATGATGTGGTACTGTATGATGGAAACCAAAATACCGCTTCATATAAATACACTTAATTACAAGTAATTTCCATAATTCCTTGCTTTGTGGAATTGCATGTATCTAACTAGCTGAACATAAGATTAATTTAGTTCAGATTCTAGCATTGTAAATCACACAATGAAAACCTGAATGGAATTTATTATTAGCGTTCTAAAGCAATTTAGGAAAAATATGTTTAAGAACAAACATAATGCACTTCAACATAAAAAGGAGTGGTAAAAAAAATATATGAATGTCTGGTGACACTTATGTGCATCTATCTAATCACAAAGGCCCACAAGGGTTCTGTCCCGGGTTTGTTGCACACAGAAGTCAGTAGTTTAGGACTGCTGGTGAGAGTAACACTGTAAGCTGTCAGCTTCTGACATCCTTTTTTGGCAGGAATGTGGTGGTGTTGATGTTAGTTTCTTCTTCAATCTAGTGTTCACTTTGGATCACATTTATATGCTTAGTAACATGATTTATATTGCTGTCTTTTTTCATCGTCCTGCAGCTCCAAATTTTCTATGTATGGTGCCCTTTACATATGTTGGATATTATTTCTTTGTTCTTTTTGTTGCCCCTAAAACCAGTTTTCTCCTGCTTCAAGTCTGCATTTCTTTAACTCACCATTTGCGAGTTATTTGTAGCTGTGGGTTCTGGTGGTAACATACAAAGATAAGAGTAAAACAAGTCAGTAACAGAGTCCTGATCGATTAAAAAAGTTGCTGTCACAGCTAAACCAAGTAAAGCAAAGCTCTATGAGCTGCTCAACAAGACTTGACAAAGGCTTGTCAAACCCCAGTGCTGAGGCCCTGTAAATTCAGTACAAGTAGAAAGCCTGTTAATAGCAATGGCAAGGGTGTATTTCAAGGTTACGTGCTCACAGGGATTCATGCTGTTATCTTCCATGTGCTGGTTGCGTGTGTTAGTTACCAAACTGTTACTTATCTAAAATAGCAGATTCCCTCTTATTTTCCTTTTCTGCTTTGCTCGCTGAGCCATTAACAATCCTGTCCTTACCAAAACTAGTAAAAACTGTTTGATGTCGCATCATTCTCTTAAGAATTTGCAGAGTGATGCAGCTTCCGTCATGAGCAAAGTGAATGTCAGGGACTGTGATGGGCTGGGGTGGGTGTGGAGCATGTTGAGCTGGTTAGAAGACCAGAAGAGGATACAGTAGAATAGACATAGTATTCATCAGTGTATGAGGAAACTTTCCAAAGGTATTAATAGTATTAGGAATCAGATGTAGAGGTGTGCTGTGAACAAAGTAGTATGAAAGAAAGCTCAGTTACAACTTTTTTTCCCCTTTCCATTCAATTGTGTTATGATTACAGGGAAAAATTCACCCTGCTATTTCTTGTTGTATCAGCTACTGTCTTGCTCCCACATCCTGATACAGATATGCTGTTATAAATTGCTTTGCTGTGACAGGCTAAACCGAGAAAATCTACTGGTTCGTATACTTGTGACTGACAGGAAACATAAAAAGATAATCTAGTTATAATCCTCAAAATTAAGGCATATTTTGCCTCAGCTTTTAATGAGAAAAACAGGCAGTTTAGGACATGAAGGCAGAGGCTGGATGCCGGATATGCAGAAGGAGTTAACCACATTAAAGGTGGAAGCAGGACTCCAGGATATTCTCTTTAATGCACTTAGTGTGTTTTAAGACTACGATGTTTACAATACTACAATATTATTAGTTCAGCGTATTGTTGAGGTATTGGTCTTTTTTTAGATGGGAAAGTCCATCTCCATACAGACTAGGAATTTTAACAAAGCTATGTAATCAGTCAACACCAGGAAAAGGAACAGATCTTGGATCTTCAAGGTCTGTATTTTAATTTTAGCTAAGACATGTTCTACAAACAAAATATTGTGGAAAGTAAAAAAAAAAAAAAGTAAAGGATACTTTTTGCCTAGATTTATTGGAATTCATATTTCTAAGACTATTGTAGAAATTTCTTAAGCTTCTTGTTCTTCAGCAATAAAAGCAGAAAAATACATGAATCCTGTTGCTGGACTATCCTATTTTGTTTTTTTCTCTCATAGTCTTGTCTCTTAAATTTAGCAGGCTAAAATGTTCCAACAGTATTGGCAAAGTTCTTGACTATCAGGCAATCACTGCTTCTGAACTTTCAGGACAGCTTTGCATTAATTAACGCAAGGATGGTGGTGACAGCACAAGCTGAGACACTTTTTAGGTCTGGAATAGATGGCACTTTCAGTCACTTTAAAAATCTAAGATTCTATAATAATAAAGTTCAACTGTCTGGAATACTTCAGCTGCAAGTTTAAATGATACCTCTAACAGAGTTCAAGGCTTTTAAATCCTTTTAAGGATTAAGGTATAGGCTTAAGATGGAGTACTTTGGGCAAGAAATTCTTTGTTTCCACTTTCAAATCGTGACTGACAGTTCAACCCTGGAGTATTAATGGTGTCTTTCTATGTATTTTTTCTTTGTGTTTGATATTTTAAAGTTCTAAAACACTTTGATTTAAAGAAGATCCAATTGAAAGCCCAAAATAAAATATTGCAAGATAGGATGGTGGATAACAGTGATATGGAGGGAATGTACATGACAAGGATAGATTAGGAGGGAAGATGCAGTGATTGGGGATAGCCAGTAGAGGAACTCATTTTGCTGCTGACTGATTTAAAATTGGGGTCAACAATACTGACAGTTATAGTTGGGACCAAGTAAAAGGGAGGATATTTTCAGACAAGCTGTAGAAGATGATGTGAGTAAAGTCAGAGAGAGTTAAGAAGCTGAAAATGAATGTGGCTGTTTTGTTGAAATGAACGGGGGAATTCAGCGTTGCTGTGGAGTAGAAAGCAGTGAAACTGGGCAATAACACGGCCATATAAGCAGGAGAGGAGGGTAGATGGTAACCCCAAGACTTGAGTCTGAAATGAAGGAGGGTAAGAAGATGCTGTCAGCAGCCAGTGGAGAAGAGGAAAGAAATGCAACAACACAGCATTTTTTGAATTTCCAGTATATATCCAGTAAGGATTTTTACTTGAGGTAGTCTATACATTATTGTATGCACTCAGAAAGGTAACTTCCTGGCCGTCACTTAATGCTTTAGTCGTATTTTTGTTGTAATCATCTCTAAAGATGATTAACACTTTTTTGTCTTCAGTTCTCTGTACTTTAGTAAGGAGCTATTAGCTTGGTAAATATGACAACTTCTTGACAAAAGTAATTTTAAGGAAAAAGGATTTCTTTCTTAATTCTTAGTTATTTGACTAATATTTGTATGACACTGCAAATACACAGATAGAACTCTGTATCTGTCTATCCACCAATCTATAATGTAAATGCAAATACCTTGGTTTGCCTGAGATAGAAATCTAATATTGATGTGCAGTCTTAAATTCAGAAAATAGAAGAGTGAAAGAATTAGAAATCACTTTTATCTCTTAGAGTGGCAATTGTCTTCTCATACGTATCTTTCCTAGGGTATTCTGGAAAAATACTTGAAGTGGGTTGTAAAGGACTGAATCTTCCTAAGCATCCGTATAAAAGCGGTTGCAACAACCGTTTCCTTTGATATGTAAGCATGATAAATCAGAGCATTAGATAAAGAACATTTGGCTGGAATTCAGCTTATTGATAATATTGTGCAAAACATTAGATACTGTCCCACACAACATCCTTGCCTCTAAAATGGAAAGACATGGATTTGATGGTGGACAACTCAGTGGATAAGGAGTTGGTTGAATGGTCACACTGGAAGAGTTGCAGTCAATGGCTCAATGCCCAGGTGGACACCAGTGACGAGTGGTGTCCCTCAGGAGTCTGTATTGGGACGAGTATTATTTAACGTCTTTGACGGGGACATGGACAGTGGGATTGAGTGCACCCTCAGCAAGTTTGTGGATGACACCAAGCTGAGTGGTGCGGTTGATGCTCTAGAGGGAAGAGATGCCATCCAGAGGGACCTTGACAGGCTTGAGAGTTGGGCCTGTGCCAACCTCTTGAAGTTCTGCAGGGCCAAATGTAAGGTCCTGCACATGGGTCGGGGCAATCCCAAACATGGATACAGGCTGTGCGATAAGTGGATTGAGAGAAGCCCTGTGGAGAAGGAATTGGGGATATTAATGGATGAAAAACTGAACATAAGCCAGCAATGTGCGCTTGCAGACCAGAAAGCCAACTGTATCCTGGGCTGTATCAAAAGAAGTGTGACCAGCAGGTTGAGGGAGGTGATGCTCTCCTGCTACTCCACTCTGTGAGACCCCACCTGCAGTACTGTGTTCAGCTCTGGGGCCCCAGCATAAGAAAGACATGGACCTGTTGGAGCAGGTCCAGAGGAGGGCCATGAAGATGATCAGGGGGCTGGAGCACCTCCCCTGTGAAGACAGGCTGAGAGAGTTCGGGTTGTTCAGCCTGGAGAAGAGAAGGCTCCAGGGAGACCTTATAGCAGCCTTCCAGTACCTAAAGGGGGCCTACAGGAAAGCTGGAGAGGGATTCATTATCAGGGAGTGTAGTGATATGGTGAGGGGTAATGGTTTTAAACTGAAAGAAGGTAGATTTAGATTAGATGTAAGGAAGAAGTTCTTTACTGTGAGGGTGGTGAGGCACTGGAACAGGTTGCCCAGAGAAGTTGTGGATGCCCCATCCCTGGCAGTGTTCAAGGCCAGGTTGGATGAGGCTTTGAGCAACCTGGTCTAGTGGAAGGTGTCCCTGCCCATGGCAGGGGGGTTGGAACTAGGTGATCTTTAAGGTCCCTTCCAACCCAAACCATTCTATGATTCTATTCTATGATTCACTGGCATGATGAGATCTATTGAAACATATGCAACTGCAACAAACAAGTGATCTGTTTAGGCATGTTAAGTTTTAA